TAAAGTAGATATTCTTTGCATTCCTTTAAAGCAGGTTCTCAAAAGTGTTCAATATGGACACCTAAGGATTAATGGACTATCCAAGGGCTGATCATTATTATTTGTAGTACTATTATTTAAAGTAGTATTTATTAAAATATTTTTATATAAATGTTTAGGGATCGATGGACAATCTAAAATTTCTGGAAGAGGTCAATGAGATGAAGAGTTTGGGAACCGATGCCTAATACTAATACTTCTGTGTCAGAAGCACTGATTTCAACAAGTGCTTCCATGGTGAAAGGATTTGCTGGTGGCATCACCATTGCCCAAGAGATGCCCTGTTGGGGACCCTTTTCACCCACCAAAGTGGTACCCATTTGTGGTCTCCCGCTTTCAAATCGCTGGATTGGTGGTAATTAGAGCATGTGACGAGAGCTCACCCCACCCCGTGGTAGCAACAGGTTTCAAACATGAAGCTGCCGATTGTCAGCCCAGCGTTCTAACCTCATGAGCCACCGCACTCCTTGGAACCCATGCTTTAAAGTAATCAATGGCTTTCTAAGAGTAAATAGGGTAGAGTGTTGAAATCTTTGGATGAAATAGAATTGACCAATTTTTTTTCATTACCAAGTTCCAAGAGACTTTAGAGCAGTTTTCACATCCTGGAACCCTTCCAACAGCCATTTTGGCTGAGGATGGTGAGTGTTGAACTCTAATACATCTGGAAAAGATAAAGATGGAGAACACAACCTACAAGATTGAATATTGCGAGGATTATTTCATTCATTTTTTCCCCTTAAAAGTCCAATAATAAAACTAAATTTAGATGATCTGTAAAATTATTCTATTTTTTCTTGGGAAAAGCATTTCTGATTAAACTGGCCTGATAGGTGCTCAAAATGAGAATTTGTTTCTGATGATCTTATTCCAATATATTTCAATACCATGTTTCCCCAAAAATAAGACCAGGTCTTTTTTTTTTTTGCCTCCAAAAGAGGCACCAGGTCTTACTTTCGGGAGATGTCTTACTTCCGGCACCGACAACCCTGCCCAGCCGGTTCACTTCTTCTGGGGCCAAAGGAGCAGCTTCATTCTGCACCTGCATTCCGGCCTGCATTTCGCAGTCAGGCCTTTCCGGAAGGCCTATGCAGCCGAGCACCGAGCTATGGATTCAATCCATAGCTTGGTTCTCAACTGCAGAGGTCTTGCAGAAAGGCCTATGACTGAGAAATGCAGGCCTGGCTGCAGAAGACGCCTCAGAAGAAGTGGGCTAGCAAGGAGAGTTCTGGCTGTAAGGTAAGTGGGTGTGGGGTGCATGGGACAGATCCTACCCCCACCCTAGCTTGATTTTTAAATGTGTGCTTCGCCCCCAAACTAGGGCTTATTTTTGAGATGGGGCTTATATTAGGCCGCCCCCCAAAATCAGGCTAGGGCTTATTTTCGGGGTAGGACTTTCTTTAGGGAAAACACGGTAGTTGCGGTATGATTCTTCTTTGAGATGTCTCTTATATAGAACCAAGACACTTGGTAGAAGCCCCAATTACACCATGCACTTAGTGTCATCATGGCACAGTATGAATCATTTGCATGATGATATCATGATTCATGAGCCGTCACTCACTTGCCATGGATATCCTTGTAATGGGAGATATTACTATTTTTAATTTTGTTTTGCACCTCTTGCTTTTCTGGCCAGACAGTGTTTAACTTCTCACTGTACAATGCTGAAACATTTTTTTCTTTTACTTAACTCTTCACATACAACTCTTTTATTTCAGTCTGCTCCATGTTAAGTATGATAGTGTATGTCCCATTTCCCTGATAGTGATAGTTCTTTTGGATGTAATGTTTTTCTTCTGTTTTTAAAAAATAGGGCAGTATTTATAGAGTTTATCTTATATTATATGAAGTTATAAGAAGAAAAGCTAAAACTCTCCCAGTGCCACTGTAAATGAGTCTATACATCTTATTACTGCCTGTCTACCCCTTTCCTTCAATCTTTGCCATCATTAAAGCCTTTTCCAGAAAGCTGAGTCTTTACACAATGTGTCCAAAGTAGGATAATTTGAACCTGATTATTTGGGCCTCAAGTGAGAACTCTGGGTTGATTTGTTCAATGATCCATTGGTTTTTTTTTCTTGGCTGTCCATAAGTTACTGTTTCAGAAACAATTATTTTATTCCAAACCTTAGGGACAACAATACTATCCATCATATTCATCTTAATTTTTCAGTTCACTGGTTTCTGAATTTTAAGTAAATCTTGTCTGTGTTGAGTAATTGGTAAAATTAACTCACAGAAAGCCTATTGTTTGTGGTTCAAGTTCTGCTTTCTCCCATACACCATGTCTTGAATTTCTTCTCCAAAACAGCAGGTAAATATGTTTGGCTAGCTGAAGTGGCTGGGTGCCAGTTGAAATGGACAGCTGTCCCTTGAAGCACATGGAAGTTTTGGGTGCCATCATTTCTCAGACAATTTATGACAGCTTGCATTGTGTGGAAAGAATTTTGACATTTGAGGGTACCTGGGGTGCACAGCTGCTGCTCTTTAGTGGTGGTTAATTTATTATCTGTTTAAAGGCTTGAAGAACTGTAATTATTTTGGATATAGTGAAGAGTGTTCTTCCAAAGAAAATGCTTGTGATGAGCTATTTTTTTTAAACACACACACACACACACATTTTTAGCTGATTTCATTCCTACCTGTCATTTTCAAACTGCCTAAAGGTGCTGCTTTAATAAGGATTTGATTCTCAAGTTCTTCTTTGTGTGTGTTTGTTTAAATCAGTCCAAGGGTGACATAAACCTGTTATTAGCAGGCATCTCCCAATTATCTGCTAATTGGTGTCTTAGCAGGCTTTCATAGAAAAAGTTTGTGCATATATGTCATCTTGGTTGCAAAAGGATGACTTTTAAGCCAGGGTGTAATGTTAATTCATGTCAAGTTCCCTTGTTCCCTGATGGTTCGCTATCAGCCTTCTGGGATCCAGCTCCATTAGGAATTGTCCATTATTCTGTGGCACAGGAAAAGATTAAGACAGATTCAATATCAGAAGTGGCTACTTGATCTTTCTTATGTTCCTCCCTGCCCCATCACCTTTGCTTCAGTTTGCATTGTGCTTTTCTTAGATTCTAAATCCAAGGGTAGAAATTGTCTCTTTATTGAGCTATAAGTACTACTCGGTATAAATTTAGTTGAAAGTAGATATAGCAAGGACAGCTGCTGCCAAAAATAATATTTCTGTTAAGTAAACAATAAAATACAAATACTAGGCAAATATACACAAATGACAAATTGTCATATAATCTGAAAGCAATCACATGAAACTGATGCAGAGAGAGAACCAAATGAATTTAAAATGTGATAAAGACAGAAAATTAATTTATGGCTACTTGGAAATAAACTTCATTGTGTTTAGTCAGATTTAAGGCTTGGTAAATTTATGTGAAATTGATTTAGCATATTCTTCCTTACATGGCAAAAAAGAATCCATTGAATGTAAAATACATTTCTGAGTAGGCAGATATTAGATTGCTTTATAAAATGCATTCTACATTCTTAAAAGCAGAAGCTTTGGGTTCCTAACTATTGATATATAGAAGGTAAGATACATGATGATTATCACTCCTTATTTGTTTGGATTCAGTTTGGATTCAGTTTGGATTCAGTTTGGATTCTTAAAAAAAGAAAGAAATTTTGGATGATAGGACATATTTACTTCTTATATTTATCTGAGATAAATTTATTTATATTAAAGCATTTATAGGGCTACATTCTGTCTGTCCCTCACCCCATCTCAAAATCTGGGAATCATAATATTGAATATGGTGAGTACAGGAATATCTGCAGGGTTGATCAGTGATATGAAAGTGTGGATATGCCCAAGTGTTTGATTTCCTGCTACTTTTTGTAACCATCAAAAATGAGCAGAACTTTGATCACCTAGTCATAACTACCATTTTTATGACATTAACCTCTTCCCCCTTGTACCTCTTGTGATCTGAGTTCTTGCTCTCTCTCCTTTTCCTTTGCCCCTTTTCAATCAAACCTCAAACCTTTTTCCTTGGCATCCTGGAAAGCCAAAAATACTATTTTGTTTCTTTTTGGTTAATCTTATTAAAAGCATTGTCCAAGAGGTATTTCACTCCAATGCCAACATTTTACAAGTGCAAGAAACCCAGTTTTAAAAATGGTTATGATTATTATCATCATTATTATCATCCCTAAATACTGTGGCACTTTGACCTTCCCTTTGTATGGCAAAGGTAGATCTTTGTCACCCAGGGTGAAACTAAATCTTTCTTTCAGAATCTATTAGTCTAATTACAGAAGCATTCCTAGTTTGTTTTAAAGATTGACTAGGGCTACTTACTATTCTAGATTTTGCTTTTTCTAGTCTGCTGGTTTTATGGAAGGTCTTAAATTGGGGCAGAACACCTGAAACAAGTGCTCTTGCAGTAACAGGGACTTTGCGTTGAATAGAAATGCCACACAAATTGGACAGGTAATTCCGTGAGAAGTGGATAGTCAGTTCCTAATTCATAATGAAAGTGAATTGATTTTCTGAAAATATCCTCAAGCAGAATCTTTTTATCCCTCCATGATACTAGGTTGCAGCCTGGGCTGGATCCTCCTGGTTCTCCAGGCGCAGGTAAAGGATGCCCTTCCTCTCCTAAATGCTTGGGCCTGGGGGCTACCCACAAAAGGCCCTCTGTGAATATCTTAACATATGGGCAACAAAGATCAATTTATAATGGAAGCAACAGAGCCTGACTTCTGAGTTCCTTCTGAAATCTTATACCATTTCTCAAATCAAAAGGCAGTCATTGTTTCACAACAGCCTGTATTTTGAGATTGGCAGAGAGGTGCCGGTGGGATTTGATTTGGCTAAGGCTTGTTTTTCCTCCTGTCCCATTCTTCTTCATTCATTCTGGGAAAATCAGATTCTTTCCTTTCAGAGCCTGTATTGGACTGGAGCTGGAATTAATTACTGATGGAACTACTGTATTTCCTTGTAGCCCCCACGCCATCCCAGATCGTCTGAGAATCAGAGTGAATAGGATTAGCTTGCAAGATTACGAGGGACTGCATTATGACAAGGAAAAACTCCGGGAAGTTTGTAAGTTTTTTAAAAAATAGTGTGTGTGTTTTTTTTTAATCTGTGAGTTACCTCTGGGTATGGTACATTTCATTCTGCAATTTTTTCTGTGTCCAATTGCCAAGAGGGCTGGTTTTTCTTTCATGCTTCATAGAAGCCAAGTCATTGTAAAAGTTGCCTTCAAACAAAGTTTTGCAGGAGATAAATGTTGGGGAGTTATTTTTGTCTATTTGTACCAATGTCACTTTTTAAAACAGGTCATTATTTTGAGAGACATAAAAAGGATTTTGCCATACATTTCATTGGAAACCTTTTGGAACCTTCTATACTCACTATGCTTTGCAGAGCCTGGGAGATTTCCATTACATGAAATGTGGCTCCCATTTATTCCTTTTTTAAACAGAAATTCATCAGCCCCTGCATATGAAGAGAGGTCATACAAATGAATGTTGTATATAAATCGCAATCATTTATTTTGCAACAATAAAACCACACTGGGGAAATAACATTTTTTAAAAGCCCATCCTATAGAAATGTATTTGCAGAACAATTGAAAGCAGTCATTGTTATTTTACAAAATTATTTTTCTAGCTATCAAGAGTACAATTTTCATTTAAAGTTTTCAAGCTTATGATTTTGCAAGACAATAGATGTCTTCAGGCGTTATGCCTGAACAGGAGATTCTAAACAGCATGACAGACAATCTGCTATATTGTTTTTCTTTTCTAACTTTTCCAATACCAAGAAAATTTGAAACTGGCATTAAGTCAAGTTTGAATCCTGGTGACTTCCTGGACATTTCTATAGTTTTTTTTTCTATAGTATAACAGGGTTTGCCTTCTATTTTTTTTTAATAAAAAAAAAACTTTACAGTACAAGCATTGCTATTCTTCGGTCATCTAAGTGAACCGATTCATTTTAAATGAAGAATTAAATGAATTCCTCAAATATAAAGTTTCATGTTCTGGGAATGACTAACTATGCTGTGGCAGAATGAAAGTAGTGTTATTAAATTTAGTCCTATTCTTTGTATTTTCTGTTAATATAAGCCATTATAAATACTGGAATAAACAAAAAAGCAGGACATAAATTCAATAATCAATAAATACTTATATACATAAATGCAACAAGTACCACTTAAATGAACATTGCTAATCAGGGATTACAGTGTATGGTGGTTACTGTCATGTAGTTATGTCTATCTCTATACACAAATGATTGAGAAAACAAGGAAGAAACAGATATACAGTACATGGTTATTTCCTTCAAGGGCAGAATGTCATCGGAAAGATTTAAAAATAGATTGCCTACCTTTTGGGGTTGATATTAATCTTCTCTGAAACTGTGCACGATGAGTGTCAGTTATACAAGGGAGAAAATCAATTTAGGTGAGACCACAAATAGAATGAGAGTGTAAATTTATTTACACTGTTTTGGGATAATCCAAGTTAGTATTGGAGTATTTATTGTGCATCATGGAGAGATATCTCCAGAAAGAAATCTTAATGGGTTCATTGCAATATTTTGAAGACATTAATAAAATCGCTTATTCTTAAACTATTCTCCATATTCTGATTTCAGTAGTTTATTGTTAATTTAGACTGGAAAGTTTGAAAGATGGATATTAAAAAGAAATCTTCCACCTTTGGGAAACTGATCTTATCTCTCTGGTGTGAAAGTCAGGTATCCTCAACGAACCTAGCTGAGCAGTTTTGAACTGAGGAAAGCAAACTGTACGAGTTTCAAATTTACATGTTTTTCATTCCTAGGATACTTGAGAAGAGCTTCACATTCAAACTCTAACCTGTGGTTATATTTATCTGTGATTGGATGAAAGTAATCAGCTTATTCATAACCCCAATGTTAAACTTGGTTCAAACAACCTAGAGCTCAATAACCATAGCTGAGATGAGAGATGACAAGTATAGTTAATAAAAACAGAAACAAAAACTTGGTTGCATTGGAAAGGGGGGAAGGATGATAGATCATGGGAGAAGGTTGAAAGTAGCTCACACCTATCACAATAAACTGTGACAGGGATGATCTTCCAGTTGGCTCACTGTAATGGGGGCAGTATTCTTCAAGAAGGACAGCGAGTTGAAGAAATGTATAAACTCTTCTGTTGCTGTGCCAGAGCTTTTACCATCTTGCCCAGAGGCAAATGACTTTCATCCAGTGAAACATTCTGCCTAACATACTTCAAGTTATCATTTTCCCCCCAACAGGCTACAGAACTGTGTTATTATAATTTAAACAAAATTTATACTTCCCAGAAATTCTAGCAATTATATTTATAAAGAATGTTCTGCAAAGCTATGATGAAACCTTTCATTTGCTGAGTGACAATCAGCATCAGGAGCTGAAACAAGTGCTCTTGGTGGAATCTATATTCTCTCTGAAGATTACAAAAATCAGTTTCTATGGAAATAAGCAATGGATAAAGATATGGGTATGTTGGGGAACAGAATGCTGCCTACCCAGAATAACCATCTTTTTGCTCCAAGATAAGCAAACCAATTAGAAAGTTTGTCTCCCATAATTCCTAGGGAACCCCATGTTCTGCAGCATGGTCACATAAGAAACAGTCGTCTTTGTAACTGAATATGAATAATGAGCCAGATGGATGAACAAGACTCCATTAAACCCTTATCTCCAGGAGCCATATCCTGCATTGATTAATGACTCAGTGTGTGTCACTGGAAAAGAAACTTCATTTTGAAAAGTTAGCATCTACTGTGTTGCAGGCTCAGCTAACCTCTTTTTTTGATTTTACACCATTAATTCAATGTGACAATTAATTATTGTGGTATTATCTCTAGAATTATGTTTTGTTTTTGATTCTTTGTTTCCTCAGTTGAGATGGTGAGGGGTTTCAGGCAGATATGTTTTTATCCATTATCCTGTGAGATTAATGGGAAAACTTTTCAACAACAGCAGAATATTAGCATTAGGCCATTAATATTGTAAGAAATTCACGTGTGCAGATGAGATGAAACTGTAGTTCAATAGTCTGCCCAGACATACAATCTAGGCAGACATTACAAGGGAGACATGATCCATAAGGACAATTTGTAAACCTATTGGCTTCCAGATATATTAAGATGATAACTTCCAGAATTCCAAATCACTACATGCACAGTCGGTACAGTTTGACAATAACTAATCCATCCTCTAAAAATATTGTCTGCCTTTTCATTTTCAATGCTACACTTGCAGTAACATGGTGATGCAAATCCTGCCCTCAACCACTGGGTCCCAAAGGTCCAGTATTTGGGTCATGATGTCATGACATGCAGTATGCTTTGTCACTGGATCCTAGATTCCCTTCTACAGATGCCCATGACTACGTTGTTTCATCATTTTTATTCTGTTCCAAAAGCCCCCGTGCATTGCTCATAGTGGAGGCTTGTCTATCAATCTTTCCATTACCTAATAATTCCCAACTCATATTTCTTTTTCTTGCCATCTGCAGTTCTCCTCTGACAGGAAGTATGTTCAGCCAAACTCAGAGTGTAGCTAATGGGGGCAGTGTTAGCATTAAATTAATTGTTTCCAGAATCAGTCTCCAATTGGGAACATCAATGTATACTATCTCTAAAGCACGGGTGTCAAACTCGTTGCGTCATGTGACGTGTCGCTACGTATTGTGACTTTTTTTGCATTTCTGGAACTGGGGTGGGCGTGGCCTCCACATGATGCAACCAGCCCACAGGCCGGCAGTTTGACACCACTGCTCTAAAGCATTAACCAGCTAAAGTCTCTTGATGATAGGAAGGCCAAAAGCATGGGTCTAACCTTAAGGTGATGGCCTTTTGTATGGTATTTTTCTACTCCTGTCAACATTATTTTGTTGAAATGGAATGGTTGCTCTGTTTCAGCATAATGTTCTCCTAGATTTCTCAATGAGAACATACTCTACAATTGACACATTTTAAGCAAAACTCATTAGAGTTTATGGATAAGACACATTCTCTATCTTTTGTAGATTTACGTTCAGGCTTTCTGGCAGATGAATAAATGTCTTCATCACTATTCCGTTTATACTCATGCGTAGTTTCTGTGACATGTCAAGGGATTTGCTTACAACACCATTGTTTAAAACCTGGTCAGAAAACCATGCTAGAGGGCCACTTTGAGGACAAAAATTAGTCACAAATTCCTTTTGAGAATGATGGATGGCAAGATTTTATTGGGGGAGGGGAAGAAGAGGGTCTCCTTCTGTAGTTACACTATTTCACTTCTGAGACAGCACATGGGGGCCTAGGTGATTTTTCTCTCATGGGGAACTTTGAGGGTTTACTATTAATTTTAGTTTGGCATCTAACAGGAGAGGTGCATCTTTACTTATGCCTCTGCAATCCCACTCTGCTGAAATTAAATACCATTAAGTATAATTGACTAAGTCTTGACAGGCTACATATATTCTAATAACATTTTAAAGATGAGCAGTAATTACATAGTTTCTTCATCTCAGCAGGTGGTGGCACCTGGCAGATCTTGTCTGGGTTCAGAAATTAAATTGGGTTGGGGCTGATGAGTATTCAGGGAATGCTGGGGCTCTAGACTAAACTGGGAAGTTAAAAGATAACAATCTCCTTCTGTACTGCTACCTAGAAAACAACATAAATTGTCCATGAGTCCCCAGGAATAAAATGCAGCTTGAAGGATACTTTTCTATATTCCCTTCAGGTCTTATATACTGTATACATAAAGCCCAACTTTTTTGGCTACACATTTTAACATTATTAATTCTTATTGTTATAATCATTATGCCTATAGCTATTCCATTGGGAATTATAGTCGTCCGAGGAGATTGTGACTTGGAGACTTGTCGCATCTATGTGGATCGCTTAGAGGAGGTGAGTAAATGAAAAGGACATGGCTGTCTCTAGAATATATTAGTCTTGTACAAGGATATCCATGTATTTCATTTGGATCAAAATGTGCCAAAGGACAGATCAAAAGCAAAGAAAGTTCACTAAACCATTATATCTGAAGGTCAAGCAACTCAAGATTGCTAACTCCTAACCTACCTCTATTTCATGAGTTAAGATTGTCTGCCACAATTGCTAGCATACTAATCACTGCAGGCATGTTGATTGTTTCTTCTTCTGCATTTGCTGCAGTCCACTTTCAGCACAGTGCCAAAAAATTGAAAGTGCAATATCAATAGCACTTAGACTTATACACTGCTTCATAGTGCTTTATAGCACTCTGATGTCATCATATTGTCCTCAACAATCTGGATCCTCATTTTACCAGCCTCAGAAGGATGGAAGGCTGAGTTAACCCTAAGCCAGTCAAATCGAACTTCTGGCAGTAGGCAGAGTTTGCTTGCAATACTGCATTCTAATCACTGCACCACCATGGCTGTAACATATATCAATTGGGGAACTACAGCACATTTTACCATATTGCAATTTTCAAGCTCTACCTTGACTTCCCAAGGCTGGTTTATCTGCTCTTTGTCCCTAACCTCATCGGGACATTTCACAAGTTCAAAATAGAAGTTGGAACAATGAAAAGTAGAATTACTATATTCTGTATACCCTGATGCCATTTTTGAGGTGTGAAAATGTGGAGTACAGAAATATGTACCCACTTTAAATAAAATATCAGGACTCTTTCTGTTTAGATGCCTGGAGCAATTAGGATAAAGGCATAAAAGGGATTGAGAAAAAGTAGTGCTAATTGATAGGACAAGCAATGTTTAGTGGAATAGTTGTGGCTGGAAAGTATTGAAAATATAACATAGAATAATAGAGTTGGAAGGGACCTTGAAGGTCTTCTAGTCCAACACCCTGCTTGAGCAGGGGACTTTATATCATGTCAGAGAAATAATTGTCCAGTCTCTTTTTGAAAGCCTCCAGTGATGGAGCACCCACAACTTTTGAAGGCAAGCTATTCCAGTGGTTAATTGCTCTCACTGTTAGGAAATTCTTCCTTAGTTCTAGGTTACTTCTCTTCTTGGTTAGTTTCCAACCATTGCTTCTTGTTTTGTTTTTTAGTGCTTTGGAAAATAATTTGACCCCCTCATCTTTGTAGGAGCCCCTCAAATATTGAAACAGTGCTATCATGTTCCCCTAGGATGGTCAGCCCTTTCTCATAAAAATCTGGACACAGTGGCATGGCATTAAAAATCCTTGAGCATATGGTTGCCAAAAATAGTCCTTAATAATGTCCAAATAGTTACCAAGATTATAGCAATCTTTGGTGGTTCAATTTTTAAGACTGAGCCAACAAAGATTTGGCCTCTAGGAAAAAAGAATTTTGCATTGCCTCTTCAAAATGAAAGAAATAAAGTCTGGTCTTCTTTCTTTTCAGTTATAAGCACTTGAAAGAGTTTGGAAGTAAATTTCAAACCCCAGCATGACATTTAGGACTCAAAAACGGAAATTTGAAATGATTTCTTTTTAGATAGACGTGACTTGTCAAGACTTCGCTTTCCATGCCCCATTAAGTTCATTTCTCATTTTGTGATTCTAGAAAGCTTGGCACTAAGTGTATGGATGGATGATGGATGGTTTCATCTTTTGTTTTCCACTGGCCAAAGCTCTTGCTAGAGAAGTTTTTTCTTTCATCCCCTTTCCCTGTTTCTCCCCAGTTCCCACATTTCACACAACATAGCTTGGATATATTGGCAAACTTCTTCTGAAGCCCTTTCTAGTCAGGGTTTTGAACTGTCTTCATCCCCTGCAGTGACAGGATAGACTGAAGGAACAGGAACACAAGATGTCTGGCTGTCAGATTCTCCCCATTCCTTCTGTAGTACTGTGATTGACAAATAACTTTCTCATGGGTAAAGATGTGCTGATAGAGTGGACACCAAAATTGAAGGAATCAACCCATTATGTTTTTAAATGCATAATAGAACACCATCCATCAGTGACCTGGAGCAGATGCAATAGAGGCAGGATAAGGATCAGCAATGAAGGCAGTAAATACCATGATGACATAGTTTTCTCTCTACTCAAGGTTGGCTAGCTACTTAATTCAGAACTTTTCTCAGTTACTGGGAAAAGACAGTAACTGCCATGTATAAAGTGAGTATTTCCTTAATCCCTGAGTGACAATTATTTGCTTCTGCCCAGGGCTCTAGGAAAAGATGAAAAGGCAGAAGATATAATCACCAGATAGTGAAACATTCTAAATCACCTTATACAGAAATCAGATACTGTTGTTGGTTCCTTGGGACAATTGGAAAATATCAAGCCATTTTAGATTAAATTATTTGCAAGTTATCACTTGGCAGCAAAATCTTTGAATAGTATTAATTTCAGATTTATTTTGACTTTCTTAAAGCTTATTTGGTAGATTATCTCTTCCTCTTCCTCCTCCCTCATGTGTGATTATTTTGTACTGTCATTATTGCTGTTGTAATAGCCAGAAAAAAATGTTTGATGAACAATTTAGCAACAAAGTTTTGCATAGGAAGGAGGATGAAATGAGCCTTAGTTAATCATTGTTTCCATTGGGACTTTTTTGTCATAGGATTTGCAGTCTGTATCTTCAACAACACAGAGAGTCCACTACCAGGTAAAATTTTGTTCCTTTCATGGAAAAAAGGAAGGGAGGGAGGGGAGGAAGGAGGGAGGGAGGGATGACTTGCTCAGACTGAATTGTTTAAGGACTTATTCAGGTTCAGATATTTTGAATAACATTCTTTTCCCTTGAAAGCATTTTGCAGGATTTCATAATAAACAATCCTGGATATTCTTGCTGAATTGTATATAATTTTTCCCATGTTGCAATAATCAATGCATGAATTACCATGAGCAGGGTCTCTTGGGCCAGGAATGGGCATAGTTGGTGAACAAGATACAATTGTGCAAAAGTTTGAGTTGGCATTTGAATCAGATTTTGCTTTATTCTCACAGGCTTAATTCTTATTATATGCAACTTCTGGCTTTCCAGTAGGCCTTTATCGTCAACATTAATCAGTCTCAGTCTCTGTGGTCAATGTTTAGGCTTGATGGCAGCTATATAACCCAATGTCTGAAGATCTTCAGCTTTGCCTCTTTGCTAATTCTATCTCTGCATAGATACTTAAAAGGGAAAAAGTAAAGTCCAGCATCTTAAAAAGATATGTTGTAATGAGAACAGGATCTATGCATTCTTTTCAGTTTTCAGAATGGGGAGCCTAATGGGGAACAGTGCCTCAATATTCATAGGCATTCATGGTATTTCTCCTTCAAAATATGTGACCAAGCCCTTTGCCCTACTGTGGTTACCATAATTATTTCTTCTGATTTCTTAAAAATTGTAGCATCACATTCAAGATTCTTGATCTTGGAGAAGGATGCTATTATAGATGGGGAATTGTTTGTCGGGTTTGTGGCTAAGCACAATGCAAAGAAATATCAAATATTTGTTATATAACATTTCCAGATCAATGCATAAGACCCTCCACAGTAGTTTTTGTTTGCATTCACAATTTAAATGATTATTTTTGAACATTGTCTGCACAGCAGGCATGCTAAATATTATCTCAACTAATGCTCTGAGTTGCATTTTTATCTGGTTTGGCCTAAAGGGCTGTTCTCTTATTATCACTTCATGAACTTTCTGTCTATATCATGCTCTGTTGTGCATTTTCAAATACACACATATTGACTCCTGCAAGAGAATTTGAGAAAGTCTACAAAGAAGAGAGTGCCTGTGTTGTTATAAAAAGGTCTTTTTTCCTTACTTTAGTGGAACTTATTCAGTGGAATAAGGACTCCTGTTGTCAATGTCAGCTTTCTCCAGTCTTTTTAAAGCATTATATTCCAAAAGATCAATAATATCTGAAATAGTTCAGCCTCTCACTAGAGTATTTTTAGTCTATAAAATAAATGTATCAAAATTATATAACAACTTTGTGCAATGTGATCCTTTCTAGATGCACTTGGGCAACAAGTCTCATGATTCATACTCCAGTACCAACACATCTAAAGCATACTAACTTCAGGAATATTGATTTTTAATGCAATTTTGATATGGCAGCCTTGGTTCATCCAACTTACCTCATATATAAAGAAACTGGCACATTCCTATTGAGCATCCCTTTGTGAATCACTAAGTTACATCACATGTAACCTCCATCTGTATAATCAGCTTCTCCTCTGTTGTCTCATCCTAAATGAAATCCTACAGCAGTCAAGCCACACTATATATCTACAGCTCACAGAAGCTTATGCCTTTTAACCAAATTCATTAGCTGGAAAAGATGCTACCAGACTTCTGATTATTTTTTGGGGGGTTGTCATAGACTAACATGCCTCTCTTCCTATAATGAATGACTTTGCTAGATCTACAATAGCCACTTCAGCCTTTTGCATACAGTTCATACTTCTGACATTTCATTTGGGATGAAAGTTATTTTTGTGCTTCATTGTTTTGTTTGGATTTTGAAGATAAGGATGTTTCTCTGTAATTCTTTGCCACTGAGTGTCTTGCTAAGGTTAATCTCAGGGAAGGAGAGTGTTAAGATGTCTGGAAACTCCGTATGACAAGGAGGCTCGGAAAGAATAGAAATATTTAGTTTTCAGTGAAGACAGTTGTGAAGGGATGTGATGACAT